TTAACATGTGCAAATAATTAGGAAGCATCTCAAAACTGAGCACTAGTGCACCATTAAAGGGAAGAGTTTTCTTTTGAGAGGCCTATTTTTGGTGGACAAGATGGTTTTTTTCCCCTGTTTTACTATATTAATATTGTTTTTTTGTTTTTTTTTTTTTTTCATGACAAGGGCATTCTGGAAAACATAAAAATTTCATAAATGAGAGGGCTATCTAGGGTCAGGCAACTACTCTTATATATTTTTCCCTTTAATCTTACCTTTTTTTTGATGTGGCCCTTTAATCTTACTTAATTACTCTTAGAAAAAATCATTTTGGTATTCTGTTTTACATCTAAATATGCGCTTTTAGTACACTGTTTTTTATAATATTAAAAAGGTACCTTGAAAATGTTTTTCTGATACCTTGGGGCAGTTTTTAAAACAAAAAAGGAAAAATTTTCCCCTATTAATAATATCCTATTTGGTCGACCTCATGGGAAATTACAAGTTAATCAACCAAATGGGAAATTATTACAAGCTAATAAAGGAAATTACAAGAAAACAACCCAAGTACTTCACGGCTCCACAATGATCTCTCTCTCCCTCTCTACGTTTTTTTTTTCTTCATTCTCTGTTCGTTTACACAGAAATAATTTGCTGACAGTTATCGAGATTATCCCTGAACTAGAGAGATAGTTGCAAGCAGTTCTATATCTTCAATAACATCCTTACATTTATACATTACAAGTTTACAACTCTAAACTTGGAAACCTCACACAAGTGCTTAAGTTCTTAGTTGCGTTGTTGAACTCTCACTATGGAGATAATTGATATATACTAGACCCTTTTTTTTTCTCCTATTGATGTTAATATAATCAGATGATTCTGTTGTTAGTCATTATAAGTGACATGTCAGATTCATTATTAACTTATCTTTTTACAGTGAAGAATCTTTCTGAATTTGATCTCAAAGGACTAGATATAGTTATATACATGCGTTTTTGTGCATGTTCCTACACGAGAAAAAACTGTATAATTTCAATCAGCATCAATGATAGCATCATGTTATTAATTCCATAAATAAAGAAGATTACAGAAACTACAATAATTCACAATAGCCATAATCACTACTAGAGCCACAGATGAAGCCATGGAAACAAACGAAAAACATCCACAAAGCCTCGAAATTTTCGGTTCGTCGGGGAACAACAACGCGATATATGAGCCGGAGAAAGCGAAGATCAGAAATATCACGAAGGCGTGCAATGCTAATGGGGAACTTCTAAAGAGTTTAGTAGGAACTTGGTAATTTCCATCTTGATGAACATATGGGAGCAAGAAGAGAATGGTGGCTGTTGAGAAAGAAGCAGATAGGATAAACTTCGAAATCGCAGTTTCGACTTCTGAACTTAACAACTTTGAATTATTAGCTTGTGGGTAATTTTCTGCAAAATTTTCTGAGACCATATTAGTAGTTTTCTGCTTTGGAAAGAAAAGGAAGTTGGTCACAAGAAGCTGTGATTCTTTTTAGTCATGGAGAAGAACTTAAGTAACAAGTATCAAACAGTCCGTACGAATTTATACTTAAAATTCAGAAAGTTGTGTTATTGATAAAGTGAGGACTTTAATTTCCTGGAAACTTGGTGGCATGTTAAATTACAAAGAATTTTCATGTTATTGACCAAGAAGAAACTATGGTTGGTTCTTGGGAACTGAGATTTTCTAAGTGGTGGGGTTTACAATATGGCTTGAGATTTTGGACCCCACCACAGAGAAAATAAGTCAGTGTGAATCCATGAAGTTTCTGGGAACTAATTAAAGGTTTGAGAAAAAGGAAGTCTTGGTAAAATGTCTTGAAATTTTATGCTTGACCGGTTTGACTGCCTTTATATCAGAATGGAATTTTAATTGTGAGACTCAATTAAAGAGTAGGACAGTTTTTCCAGTTGTGTAGGCCATGAATAAGAAAAAGTTTGTGAATAATTGTCAAGGAAAAAAGAAAGTAAAGTGTAATTCAACAAAGAAAACATGGAAATAGGCAAAAGAAAGTAAAAGCAAAAGATGAAATGTAGTTTAGATATCAAGAAACTAAGTTGGTTCGTTATTACTATCAATGTAAAACTATTATATTATATTAGAACCTAAAGTGACAGTATTCTAATAAAGAAAAAGTTAAAAGGACTTCTTCTTGGACGTCACTTATGATTATTTTGAGAATTTTACTGAAGTGCTGTATAGAGTCCGCTTTGCGCTTGCTTGGAGCTTACGAAGAAATTACAAGAGAAAAAGAAAAAGAAAAAAAAAAAAGGAGAAACAATCACTTCCTACTGTGGAATTTGACATGCTCTTGGCCTCAATATATTCAAATTGAAAGTGGAACTATGACCTAGAGAGCTAAGAATCAATACAAGATTTCTTTTCCCGTGTCTGCAACAGGAACACCCACAAACTCCCCAAAAGGCTCATCTTAGAAGTACTCTTGTATTGCAGTTAAATCCGCATTTCGCTGAGCATATATGTCGATATCAAATGTAAGGTCTGTGGTAGAGTCAACTTCTCTGGTCACACAGAGAACTCCTACTATAACAAATCTGTATACATTCAACAGAGCAATGAGGTTATTCCTCCTAAGATCGACATCATCAGATACCTTACCGGTTTACATTAGGAGTGATTATCAATCCAACACACCAATGAGACCTGGAAAAACAATGCTTACTCTTACTCTACAAACAGTCCTTACCTTAGCTCTCTCTACATCATCGGGTAATTCATCATCTTATTCTCTTTCAATACAGCTAGTCACCGTTATCATGGTGATTGCCTTCGCGGTGTTTTCCCTTGCAATTTTGTTACGCGATGCCTACCCTAGAGCTGCATCTACTCTTGACAAAGCTGCCTCAGTATTTGCTGTGATGGGGTTCTTTCTAATGACCAATACTAATCTTCTCTCAAGTCATTTCAAGTGGATTGGTTGGCTAGCTTTTGCTTTGTGCATGCTAGCCTCAATCATATCACTGGTTAAGTGATATTTGAGAGGTGCATTAGTAATGGTATTATCATCGGTTAAGTATATTTGAACTCTACATTCTACTTTATGTGCCCAAAACTATACTTTCTGAGATGTTTAAAAAAACGTAAAAAACAGGCTGCTATGCAGCCAGGTTTGAACTCTACATTCGACTTTATGTGCCAAAACTCTACTTTCTGAGATGTTAAAAAAAAAAAAAAAACGTAAAAAGCAGGCTGCTATGCAGCCAGGTTGTCAACTCTGCCTGTGTCATGTTCTAGAATGACAATTTGTCGACACAGCCGGTCCCAAGCCCGGTGAAAGAGGAGGGGCAACATTGCAACATTCACAAAGTCCAGATGTTGATCTCCATGACATCCAATCCATTTAACCGCAAAATGTAAGTCAACACTCTCGGAAAAGTTCTAGTTGTAACTAATTTCTTCTTGAAGTAGTTAATGCTTAATTTCCGTAAGCTTTTTGCTTAAATGAAAGCAATGATCTTTCTCTTGCTACAGGCGGGTGAATTTATGGATAGAGGTGAAGAAAGGAACCATTTCGATACAAAAAGGGTACTAATTACTAGTTGGATTTTGCATTATTCAGCTATCAAAAGATACTTGGTTTCACCTAGATTTCGATTGTAACATTAGTGATTCAATTGTTACACCCCCTTGGCCGGTGTTTTCTTCTCAGTGATTTATGTGAATTGTTCTCTTGTCCAAGATGATCATTCTAAGTTTTGAATTGTGAATGACTTCTTAAAGGGTTTGTAATAAGAAAATCATATTGAAGATCTAACCACTACTTATTAGTTTAGTTGGGTTTTTTTTTTTTTTTTTTTTTTTTTTTTCCAATTCAAGTAATCCATCAAACTCAAATTACAAAGACTATTTTATCGTCCAAAAACTTAATCGACAATTTTACTAATAGGCAATATGGTAATTAGACATACGTCTATCATACATTACATCAATTCGACTCTTCTTCCCTTGCAAACAACAACACGAAGGATTATATCCTTCGTTTCACAAAATAATATTAGAAACAGCATCAACGTGAACCAATATAATAAAGTTCACCTAGATTTTATGCAGACGCTAATATTAGCATGTAAAGTTCTTAGTCACCTTTACACAAGAAATTGTCTTCCCGCAGAGAATAAACTCTGCCAAAACAACGGTTTACCATTTTAGCCATTATCAGTTGGTTTTTCATCCCAAAATTTCCTTTTCTTTAATGCTGTGGAGTCCTTCAGCATTGGAATTCTGATGAAAGAAATAGCTAGAACTTTTAATTTATAGACCAAAATATTCATACTTAAGCGCTCTTATATTTGTACATCGCAAAGAGGAACAAAAAGGCCTCTAAATCCCTTAAAAAAAATGCATATCTTATCATAAACCAATCGGTTTGTGGTCAATGGAGTTTGGTGCCCGGTCGTCCCACTTGTCATCATAACAGCATCAATGTATATAACATAATATCTTTCTCTACACAACCAATCAAAGATATAACGCATCTAAGTTAAGGATCACTCCAAAGAGTCTTATAAAAAAGTTATAAGCAGCTCAAGCAAATCCCATGCGAAAAAAATGGTTTACCCCATTTGCATTTGACGTGTGAGATGGGCTTTCAACAATTGAAAAGAAGCCGCAAAAAGGTGTGAGATGAGGCATCAAGCAAGTCAGAAAAAGAGTTTTATTTTTATTTTGTTTGTGTCTCTCACCATTGATGGGGACCACGCACCAGTGTTCAGGTTTGATGCTAGCATCAAACGGGTGTGGTGCGAAAAGTTAGGTAATGGGGGGTTTTTTTTTATCCTTTAACTATTCTAGGACACTAATATGCAAGGCCACCATGAAATGAAATGGTTGAACAAGAGGTTTTGTTAAACCAATGAAAATGATTCACATAATTAGTAAGATTTGAACTCTCTACCTTAATCTTTAAGGAAAGGGATAGAATTTGACACCAAAACTAGTGAAACGATACATAGTGATAATAATAATGATCAAGTTTGAAACAGTTGCAACTAAATAAAAATGGGAATTGCTGAAACTGTAGAAAATGTTCCTACCAACTGGGCCTTAATTTTACGCCAAGACTCTCACGCTGTTCAGCCTCTAAAGAACAGGATCTCATAAATAAGATTGGCCTATCGTTTTCATAACAACCTTCAACCTTGTTTTCCCAAATCATTAGAGGAGATGTAGCCATCTCATGAAGACTACATCTCGTCCTCCAATGTTCCACCAAATTATTCTCCCTTGGTTCACCAATTCCCATATTCATATTTAAACACACCATACACGCCACAAGTTCTCACCTCCACAGAAATGGCTTCAATGTTTTGGGTTCTGCTTTTGTCTTGCTTCATCTTTTCAGTATCCCTTAACAATGCACAATCCCCAGCAGCTTCGCCCTCCACTTTGCCAACCACAACGCCGTCATCACCTACCGTCTCACCGGTGGCTGCAACACAACCACCGGTAAGTGCAGCCACACCAAAATCATCACCATCCCCTAAGGTTGCACCCACAGTGAGCCCCACGCTTCCCCCACCACAGACCCCGCAGAGTTCACCGGTCTCTGCTCCGTCGAAACCACCGTCTGTACCATTGCAACCAGTAGCGGCACCAGTTTCTCCACCACCACCCCTACCGCCACCTTTGCCAGCACCACAGATATCCCCAACGCCAGTTCAAGCACCCCCAGCACCAGCTCCTGCAAAGGAGACGCCAGCTCCAGCACCTGCTAAGGAAGTACCAGTGCCCACACCAGCACCCTTAAAGGCACCACCTGCGCCAGCGCCAGCGCCAGAGATCAAGCCACCAGCTCCAGAACCTGTTCTTGGGCCCTCACCTACACCTGCTCCGCCCCACAAACACAAGAATAGACATAAGCACAAGCACAAGAGGCACCATCATGCACTTGCACCAGCACCTGCACCAGTACCAACTGTTGTTCACAAGAGCCCTCCAGCGCCTCCTACTGTGGAAGAGTCCACTGTCGATACAGCCCCAGCACCGTCACCAACTTTGGTAATTATTTTAATCTATTCTTTATGTTCCTGCTACAGACACTCTGAATTTGCTGCTACCTACTGTTTCTTTTTATCAAAACAATACAAATAGCTCTATGTATTAGCATGAACTAAGAATCTCAAATGATTTAAAAGGCCCTTATTCCTTTTGGCTCAGAACGGAGGAAATACGCTGCGTCTTCAAGGAGGATGGTCTGGGATGTCGATAAGAACTGGAGTAGCCATTCTCATTCTAGCAACTGCAATAGGCTACCGTGCCTAGCAACCTTATACAAGCCATGGTTTGTTGTTATCCTACAAAGAGTCGATTATTTCACATGTGCAGAATAAGAAAAATACAGATTATTGAATTAGCTATTGATGCGATTTTTTTTTCCACATTTTGTATTCTCTTCAATTCTTTCATACTTAAATATATGTGGAGATGAGTTATGAATCACAAGCACCATCTAACTCAACCAAAAGGAGAAAAGGAACAACACAATAAACTCAATATTACAGGGTCAAACGTCATCTTCATTTCTGTCTGCATTTATTTCCTCCCGTAAGTCGTACTCAACCACGAGGCCGAGATTATCAACTAACTTGTGATGCTGAAGGCACCCTGCACACTGATGAATTCACAAGCAGTTGGTGAGATGAATGTAAAAACAAAAACTCCATCGTTCACATCAAATGAAAGCAAATCTGTTTCTAAAATTTATACCATCTCAACTCCAAAAGCTCTCTCAATACCACAAGGATTTAGGATACCAGTATTAGAAAGCTCTCTTAATATTATGGGTGGTAAGCAAAATAAGCACTGTCCCAACAGCATCTTATTGTCTACCAGTGTTATATAACATCCTCACACATTAGCCAAAAAAATTGCTACTTGTAAAAGTGTTGACTCACCAAAAAAACTATGGGAGATTCTCTGGTATACCTGGTGTACCGGTAGGCCAGGTTTCTAACCGTTGAATTTGTGTACTTTTTAACTTTTATGTGATTTTATGCAGACCTTTGGCATACCAGAAAAGGTCCTAAAAACTATATATTACAACTTTTAAGAAACTATAACCAGAATTATCAATATATCTAAATATATACATATATATATATATATATATATATATATATCCGGAACCCCAAAAATACACAAAAAGAAAAGCACAGGGCTCAAACAAACCACAATCCTTTGGACAACATTTGCAGTAACCCAAAAAAAAAAAAAAAAAAAAATTTACCAAGTTAGTCAAAAATGCGAAACAGATAATCAAAATCCCCACAATAAAACTACTTAAGGCAAGCAAATCAATACCTGCACGTATATAAGTCCTCGCTCATAGGCTAGTCGATTTACAAGCCTCTGTGTTCTTTCACCACACAAATCGCAAGTAAATTGCACAAGCAAACTTCTTCTGGGCAGTTTTATGTCAACTGTTGCTTCCTGAGGAAACAATAAAATGCCTCAATAAACCGAAATTATAATAAATATACATATACATGCGGAACTAAAGAAATTACTGAGCTTGGAGTTTATTAACAAAACCAACATGAAAAAAAAACAATAATTCCGTTGAATTAAATTGCGAATATCACATACCGAGTTGGAATCGTTTGGTTCGGATTCTGGGCATGTCTCAGAGTTTCCAGAAATCACCAATATCTTCGGTCCGCGCTTTGTTTTTCTATGAGAAAGGATTAGCCTGAACAAGAAAAAAAAAACAATTATGAGAGGAAAATGCAGAAAAACAGAGAAAGGGAAAAAAAACCCCCATGATGGGATTTTGGGGTACCTGGAGAGATTGATGGTGGGTTGTGGCTTGGAAGAAGAAAAGGGTTTGAAGGAGTTGAAGGAGAGAAGAGAATTAGTGGGTCGGTGAAGGTCTGCTGTGGACGATGAGAGAGAATGAGAGTTAAGCGCCGGAGAGAGACCGCAAACTGTGGTTGTTACCGCCATAGATATTGTTCTGTCCATGTTCGGAGTGACAAGGAAATGGAAGAGAAAATTTGATAAAAGAGACCGGAGAAAATTAGAATCTGAGAAAATAGGCCAGTTTTTTTTTATAACAAAAAAATGATGACGTGTATCTTACGTGGTAAAAAAATGGTCCTATTAGTCCTAGGTCATTTTCAAAAATCTCATTTCCTCACAAAACCGACCGCCGCTAGACCCTCTCTTCCCCCTGAAATCGACCGCTCGACCATCTCTCCCCCGACTGAGCTCTCTCACGACCGACCACCGGTTTTTCTCTCCGATCACCTCTCGCCGACCGCCGGCTTTTCTCTCCGATCAGTCACCAACCTCACGACCGACCGCCGGCTTTCCTCTCACCTCTTTCTCTCTCTCTCTCCGATCCACTCTCCGATCTTTCTCGTCTCGGCCGACCGACCACCTCACCAAACACCGACCGTTCATTAAAAACCGACTCCGTTCCCACTAAAACTGACCAAAAACCGACCCCGACCACTCACCAAGTTCCCGAACACAAAAATCGACCACCTGCTCACCAAAATTCGACTAAAATGGCATAAAAAACCAGCTCTTCTTCCTCAACTAAAACGGTCATTTCCCGAATAGTTGTCGACGAGGCAACGGAATCTGCCGAGGTAATATTCTTGTTTTACTTTGTCTTATATATTTTTGCAAGAACACAAACTTAATATAAGCAACATTGGTCTGTTCATAGTCGGTTCTTAGTCGGTTTTGGTTCTGGTCTGTTCTCAGTTGGTTCTAGGTCGGTTTTAAGTCGTTTCTGGTGGTCGGTTCTTAGTCGGTTCTTGTTGAGTATGGTCGGTTCTTGGTGAGGTCAGTTCTGGTCAGTTGGTGGTCGGTTCTTGGTCGGTTCAGGTCGGTTTTGGTCGGTTCTGTTCGGTTTTGGTCGGTTCTGTTCGGTTTTGGTCGGTTCTGTCTGTTTGGTCGGTTCTGCGGGGATTTTGGGTCGGGTCATGGTCGGTTCAGTCGGTTCTTGTTGGTTTCTTAGTCTATTCTAGTCGGTTCTGTCATTTTAGTCGGTTATGACCGGTGTGTTTTTTCTTCCTTTTCAGTATGACCTCCCAAAGTACAACACAGGTGAACTTCCTGGGATCGGACATCTAAAGATGATCATGGATCCTGTGCGGCAGTATTTCCCAGTGAAAGTGACTATGAAGTCAAAGATCGAGGCTTTGGAGGTAATCAGGCAGAATCTAGACCCCGAAACAGAAATGCCAATTTTCAAGGAGTCTGCCTTCGGACATTTTATTTCGATGTCTGAAAATATGATATATTTTGGAGTATTGACACAATATCTGCTTTTGAGGCGGATAGAAACAAAAAAGAGACATGAGTTGTGGTTCATGGTTAATGGAACCACAACTTGGTTTGGAATGAGGGAATTTGCATTAATTACTGGATTGAACTGCGGGAAACTCTAGAGCCGGACGTGATCTTGAAAGCTTCGAAGAATAGAAGATTATTGGAGCATTTTAAGTCCTACGTAGTACTGGTTGCTGATTTAAAAAAATTGCTCACAGGGAAGAAGATATAATGTAGCGATAAAGCACGGACCGTTATCATTTATTTTTTAGCACAAGTATTATTATCTGGGGACGAGAAGAAGACCGTCCCACTGGATTGGCTGTCTTACGTTGACGATTTAGAATTCTTCAACAGCTATCCATGGGGCAGGGGGTCTTTTAAATGCACCCTGCAGGCTTTGAAGAAGAACTTGAGAGAGAAATTCCAGAAATGGGTTCGGAAAGGACGTAATAAGAGTATCAAGGAAACCTACTCAATATGCAGGTTTCCTTAGGCCTTCCATGTATGTCATAGAGTTATATGCATAATTTTTCATGGCCTTATAGTAAATAATACCATAATTGGTTTACTAGACTTAAAAAAATTGGTTTAATGCAGGTTTGGGCATTCGAAACATTTCCAACCATCGGCGCCACGTTTACAAAGATGGTTGAGGGACATCTTCCTAGAATCCTCAAATGGGAGGCACGCCGGGTTTCATTGGTTGAGGTTAGACAGATAGACGACCTCATGCACAGTGGCGAGGTAAGGGTTTAAATATAATATTTTTATAGGTGTAAATTTTACGAAATAGGCATATTTGTTTTTTTTTTACAATATGTTTCCACCTAAATAATCATTGAATGTATGTTCTTTTAATATACAGGGAATGGCCGTACCAATTCTTTATCCCACTGAGGAGAAAATGAATAGTATGTGCATGAGGTTGTATATGCCTTATGCCGACCAAGATGATCCTGAGATTGACCAGCTTGCATCATTTTTGGAATCTGGTGCAAGAATGGTCCATGTCCCGCAATCGAAGCCTCCAAAACAATTGGCTCGTCGACAACTACTTCCCCAACAACAACAGCAACTTCCCCAACAACCAC